CGGCTAAGTAGTCTAATATCAAGTTAAAGCCCTCAAAGTGTTTTTTCTTTAAAAAGAAACTAAGTTCCTTGGCCACTCCATTTCTCAAGAAGGAATTCAACACATACAGGACAAGTTCAAAACCATCTTAAAAATGCCGTCCCCTAAAAATATACATGATAAGCAGGTAATTCTAGGAATGATGGGATATCACTATCAGTTCATCCCTAAGTTTTCTCAGCTCAGTGAACCTCTCATTCGCCTATTGACTAAGAACACTCCTTTTCAGTGGGATGTGGAACAGAAGGCTTTTGAGACTCTGAAGCAACCTCTGCAACAACGCCCTATCTTATGGCACCCAGACTATAATAAACCCTTCATCTTATTCACTGATGCGTTGGACTAAACCGTTGGGGCCATCTTAGCCCAATTGGATGAAAATGGTATAGATCATCCTGTATCCTATTTAGTAAGATACTGTCCAAGGCTGAACGTAACTACAGTGTGACAGAGAAAGAGTGCCCTGCTGTTCTGTTAGCTGTAAAGCACTACTGCCCTTTCCTATATGGAGCTACCTTCACTGTGGTTATGGATCACGCACCTCTAAAATGGTTACAGAACATGAAAGACCTACTGGCCGGTTAGCTTGATGGGCTCTAAAGCTCCAGCCTTATGACATGAAGATCAAACACCATGCTGGAACCCATCACATGAATGTTGATGGGTTGACTTAGCTACCAGTCTCTCACTTGGATAACAGTGAGGAGGAGAGGCTACATGATCTCTTAATGACCCCCATTGACTGGGAAGATGAGAATGAGCCTGTACAGAAAATGTTAGCCTGACACTCCCATAACACCAAAGTGGAGAACATGAAGTTGTATAGGCAGGTGGGAACAAAATGACAACCTTACCTTCAGCCATCGTAGCATGTACCTGCTATCCTAGAAGCCCACTCCACTCTAGGTCATGGAGGGGCCAAGAAAACCTATGAGTGAATTAAGGATCGATTTTATTGGGATGGAATGATGGAATCTATAATTGATGTCTTGGAAGCCTGCCTTACTTGCAATAAGCAATCCAGATTCAAGACAAGGTATCAGTATCAGCCAACTACCCCACAACAACCTTTCCACAGCATTAGTCTGGATGTAGTAGGTCCCCTCCCTCAGACTACTAATGGCAACTGATTTATCCTGGTAGTCATTGACCATTTCACTAAGTGGGTGGAAGCCGTAGCTCTTTCTGCTCAAATGGCCAAGGCCACAGCCACCTTCTTACATCAGAATATATTCTCTTGACATGACTTACTCAAGTATTAGTCTGTGATAATGGAAAAAACACCTCCAGGGTAGTAAAAATCGTGCCACCTCCATGGGGCTCAACACCTTTTCTCCTTTCCATACAATCCATTGACTAATGGGACTGTGGAGAGAGCCAATGGAACCTTGGTATCTATACTACACAAAATGCCTCTTCTGATCCACTTCACTGGGATCAATTCTTATCCAGTGCCCTTATGGCTCACCGGTGTCAAGATAGTGTCTGTAACTCTCTCATTCCCAGCAAGATGATGTGGGATGCAAACACACATTACTAGGGAACTAGCCGTTAGGAGAATGGGAAGAAAGGCACCTCGAACTGTGCCTGTGCAAAAGGCACCCCAGGCAAGGGTGTAAAGCGCAACATAAAGTACCAGGTAAGACAGGAATATCACAGCTTGAGTGGACCCCAAAGGGGAGTCCATAATCAAGTGTAACTTGGCGTCAGGGGCCTTGGGTGCCTCGATCTGGAGGGGACCTGGGTGGCCCAAGGGAGCACCTGGGATTTTTGTAAATTGTGATAAAAGGTAGTGGCCTACATAGTTGGAGACCTCCCCAAAGAGGTCCACCACCAAGTTTGCTCAAGGAACCATTGGTAAAAAAATGTAAAATAATGGGTAAAATTATTAAAGAAAAGTCGACCAACAAGGAATGTTGGTCACAAAAACATATTTAAAGTGGGCTGGGGAAATTCAGGTTCTGCAGAAGTGCGCCCAAGCCTTGACGCTCCAATAAACAGATGCTTCTATCCGTTTTAGTAAAATACACTGAAAGTGCCTTCACTTGAGTAATTGATTGAAGCCATATTTTACCCAAGCTTAAAATTTCATAACTTGAGCGGGACTCAAACCCTTGCTCTCCAATCAACAAAATTGAACCATCTTCATTTATAATGTAAATTGTTTGTTTTAGTGCCTGGGCCAAGATCAGAGGCTGGGCGTTTTGCACCCCATTAGTATCAACCTGGGCATGCTTGGCTTGCACCCAGCGTTGATCTAAGGTGTGTTTCAGGTCAGGAAGAGCATGAAGTTTCACCTTCTGGGCCTCCTGTCACCCAGCCTTGTCTTTAGCATCTGTTCCTACTATAAAGTCATCCAACCATGACAACCAGATCTGTTATCATCAGGTTTCGAAAATGTCCCCTTTCCATGTCTTGTATGGGTGGGAACCTGGAATACCTGATCTCCTAGTTAAGTATGTATTCTCCTCTAAAGTTGAGGAGTCTGAGAGAGTTATGATATGATTGTCTCAACGCATCATCCAACTCCAATCAGAGGCAATGTCTAATTTAGCAAAAACTGTAATAAAGTAGGCCAGGTGGCAAATGAGCTCAGAACCCCCTACTTACATTCCAAATGTCTGACATGGTATTATATTACCATAACTGCATCACTCCTAGAAGTTGTAAGCTTGGAAAAACTTGGGAGGGTCCCTTCACCATCACTTGAAAGAGGGAAACAAGTATTCCATCAAATTGCTAGCTACTGGTATTACCATTAATTGCATACATGGACGTATCCTATGGCCCTACTCTCTCCCCAACATTCTTGAGGGAGGCGATGTCATATATTTGCCCTCACAGCTGAAAAAGAAGAATGTTTTAGGTTGATTTCAGCTGAAAAAGGGAAATGTTGGCCATTTGTGATTATCCAATGATATTAAGAGCAATTCTAGTAATAGCAAAAACAATGTTATCAAAGATATAGGCAAAAGACCCTGGCCAATTCTCAGTAGAACCCTGTTAATTGGGGTAACACCAGTTTGAAACCTACAAGGGCACTAATGGGAAATTGAGTTATTGGATTTCACTGATCACATGACAGACTTTGGGGCAACCAGCAGAAGGTACTCCTCTAACCATCACCAAGTCCTTAACAACACCTATGTGGAGGCCACCCCTTTTATAGGCGTGGTGGAGGTCCCCAAGGTGAAAGAAATTTCTCTAGTGGTGACTAGATGTGGTATATCAAAACCTTGCCACATGGGTACATCCTGCCCCAAAACCCCAATTTCCAATTTCCAAAACAGTAACTCACATCTCCTACAATTTGATAGGAGAGTTTCTCATATTTCCTAATCTCAGAAGTATCAAAGCTATTCCAAAACTATCCTCAAATTTCTTTAACCCTCAAAATCAGTTTATATATGGATCAAATAGATATTTAGTGGATTGCTTTTTATCTCTGCCCTTTTTTCTAATATAAACTCATAAAAAGCCCAGTTTTTTATTACTACATTTAATAAAATTTATTAAATTCTTTGTGGGATCCAACGGTGTAAGCACCAGAAAGCACCTCTAAGCTGGAATTCTAAATTGGGTACTAAGTTTAGAGCTCACATGTGATGCTTGGGATTAAGGTGACCAAAAGTTTTCTACTTATGTGCCTTAAAATGACATTTGAGTTTTTATATATTGCACAATTTACTGAGGGGATAAAATGATTGTTTATCTACTTAGGTATTTCTACTAGGGTCAACCTTCAATTAACAAAAAAAATCATATATAAATTGAAGCTTTATAGCTTTTAAGATTTTGCTGTGCTTATTTAGTTAATGATAATGCAATTGCATATTTGATTATCTTGACATAATAACCTCATCTTACTCTCTATAATACATTTTAATTTTCTTGATATTAAGGCTGGGTATATAGATTCTCTATATTTTAAGGGTGCAGTTTTTTGACGTGTATATGTCTTATGGCTAGGATAAGTTCAAAATCTGAGGTGTGAAATGATGCCATAGCATGATGAGCCTATAGTTTTTTAGATAGCTATTAGTAAGTTTAGTTTTAATCAACCTAATAAAAGAACCAAATAAACAGTTTAAATTAAGCATTATAGATAGTCACCATTAAATTTAGTATTTATAATATAATTAAATTAATTAATTAAATAGATTAAATCAAGTATTGTAGATGGCTTTTTTTTAGTACTAGATGGTCATTGTAGATGGCTTTTTAATTTTAGTATAAGGTTGTCCATCAAATCAGCTAATTAAATATGTTCGATTGGATATTGCAGAGGGCCATTGTTAATTTAGGTATATAATCAGAATAGTTAAAATGAGGTAAACCCCATCACATTTTACACAAAATCATTGTACCTATTGAATCAACCAAATATCAAACCACTCAGCAAGGTAATATATTGATTTAAATTAGAGTCTTATACACCATTTTTTATATTATATATACTTTTAACTGAATTTTTATGATTGAAAAATAAGAAAAACCAATAAACTTGGTTCCCCTGATAAATAATATCTTTGTAATAAGGTTAGTTTTTTTGGTTCATTTTTAGGAGAAATATAGAATAAATACTTGCATATATAACATAATAATTTTATTTACAATATTATTCTTTAAATCACTTCCAGCTAGATGTTGACTGATTTCAAATTTATTCAGATAACTTAATAATCTATCTCTATCAGTCATTTGGTTGCTGTTGCTCACAGTTTTAGTACAGGCCAATTCAACCAATCCCTTAAGTAATATAAATATCTCAGTTATCTTCTTTTAAAAGTTAAATGATAAAACAAAAATAATGATACCATAACATTATAATAGATGAAACATTACAGAAGGGCATGAAAGGTACCCAACTAAGACATATACATACTCTTTGCTTTTTACTATAAGGTAAAAATTTATAGTTTATTTCCTATAAAAAATAAAAGAATTAAATTTATTAAAGCGGGCTTAATTGGAAATCGAACTCAGGACCTCTCCAACCCTAAGGGAGAATTATACCACTAAACCATTAAGCCTTTTATTTTTAAATCAAAATATCTACCAATTACAATATTTGAAACGATCACTTAAAATAGCTTGCTAGTTTTGTAGATGTCAGCTTCCTAAATCCTTTCCGGAATTCTATAATATCTACTTTGGTGATTAAACGCCATATAATGTATATCGCAGCATAAAGTTACCTTTTTTGGGTCAATATCACTCATCGATTGACTAACTTAGCGATGTAAAAAATTACCGAATACGTAGTTTAGTCAATATATCTCGATTTGGTTCCGCAGAGTAAATTAGTTAACATAGGGGTCAACTCATTCTAAAAGGGGGATAGATGATTCAATGTTGGCTAAAGCAGTATTTTAAGTGGCTAAATTAAATTAGAAAATTTGGGTTGTGGATTAGAGGTTAGGCGAGAGGAATTTTGGGGTAATTTTTCCCTTTAACTCGTCTTATTTCAATTTAACAAAATTTGCGGCTAATACCATTCCCTTGAAAACAAAAAGTAGATATTTGACTCAATGTCGACCCCATCGCCAAATTGCGATTGTATAACTCAAATCATTCCATCGAGTAACTAGGTTAGCTTACATGGGATGTTACGGTTCTCATAAACGATGGCCAGATTGATTAAGTAGCTCAGAGTTATTGAAATATTCCTAATCACATCAGACGTTGTAATGCTTATACACTTTGTTTTTGTGGTAATCGGAGTGGTCCATAAACCAAGAATATTTAGAGAGATAGGACTTGATAAAGGAAATTGAGCAATAATGGATCAACATTCCTCACACTAGAAATTTTTTGGCATAAAAGCTAACCAATAGGAGATAATAAGACAATAAGATGGTCTTATCGATATTGCCGTTATTGGTCTCAGTAGTGATCTGCAATTATGACTACATTGTAGTGGGAGGCGGTACAGGCGGTGGGACTCTTGCCACTGAACTAGCCATGAAGGAATTCAAAACGCTGTTGATTGAAGCTGGTCCTGAGCACTATGGAGCAAATCAAACAATGCCAGCGTTCTATGCCAATGCCTCCGAAGACCCAGCCACCTTGTTTGACTTTGACGTAAAGCACTACGACAACGACGTCCGCTACTTCTACCCCCGAGCAAGTGCATTGTGAGGATGTTCAGTCCACAACGTGATGGCTGCAGTCTACCCAAACTCACGTGACTTTGAGCTGATGCGCCAAATCACTGGCGATGACGAGTGGGCAGAGAACATGCGTAAATACTTCAAACGGTCGAAGGCAACCAATATCTCCCTCGCTTATCTAACCCTGACCATGAATTTGATGGATGGTTTAAATAAGTTACATCAACTATCTCATACAACTGAAACTAGACCCTATGGCCCTCAACTACATCCTTGCGACAATTGGAAATCCCCTGTTTGATCTCAATGGGAAGGATGAGTTTGGCCTCAACACGGACAAAGAATCTAAGCCCTTTATACCACAATCAGTTAATAAAAATGGGTATACCCGAGCTAACTTCCCCGGGTACACCCGCTCCATAGCCAAGCAATACCCCCTCAAAATTTGGACCAACACCTTTGTAACAAAGGTTCTGTTTGATGGCAATGTGGCGGTGGGGGTGAAGTATAAGAAATGCAGATATCTTTACAAGGCCAGCCCTCTCAGCTCAGACTACAACCGCAAATCTGAAACCCATGGAATCGTCATGGCAAACAAAGAAATTATCATATCGGGAGGAACCTTCAACACCCCAGAGATTCTCATGCTAAGTGGTATTGGCGATAAGCACCACCTCACAGAACATGGCATTCCAGTTACTTCACATGCTGCTGGTGTAGGGCGCAACATGATGGACCATTATGAGATCTCAATTGTCAACAAGTATCCTAGAGATTTCGAACTCACTAAAAGCTGTAAATTCACACCAACTGATGACGACCCTTGCTACCAGGAATATCTCCATAAGAGAACTGGTCCCTACACCTCCAATGGTATCCTTTCAGGTCAACTACGCAAATCCAGTCCACGACTTACCGAACCGGACCTCTTTATGTTGGATGGCCTCATCGATTTCCACGGGAACTTCCACGGCTACTCAAAGGTCATGGCTGAAACCCATCATGCAACCACTCGTTTCATTTTCAAAGCCCACACCAACAACACCAACGGACTAGTCAAGCTTCTCTCCACCGATCCCTTCGACGTCCCTGACATTAATTTTCACTACTTCAGCGACGGCAACTCTGACCTCGACATCCTCGTCGACGCCATCAAAGTCCAACGAGAACTCTTAAAGGCCATCATCGTGCCTAACGTCGAGTATCATCCTGGTGAAGACGTCCAAACCGATGAGTAAATTAGAAGACACATCAAAGCTAACGCGTGGGGCCACCACGCCTGCTGCACGGCCAAGATGGGTTCCCCCACTGATTCTATGGCGGTTGTGGATTCAAAGTTCAGAGTTAGAGGCGTCGCAAACCTACGGGTGGTGGATATGTCCATCTTCCCAAGGATCCCTGGGTATTACCCAGCCATCTATATCCACATGATGGCCATGAAGGCGGCCAAGGATATCGCCGAAACTCGATTTAATTAGCAGTACATTAAAAAAAGTTTATCTTTGCTAGTTTATCCAGCCCATTCAAACGTTTTTAAACTTTACAACTTATTTAAGAATCGTATTGGCCAAGATATTATTAAGCCGGCAATATAAATTAGTTTTAGATAATTATTTTATAACTGCCAAAATCCATTTGACGTCTCCGATAGAAAAACTTGTCAACTATATTTCACCTACAACCCTCCATCCGATCGATTTACTGCATTGAGATAATTCAGCACTCGATTCGGCCACTTTTGGGCCAAATTTGGGTTTAACACGTTCGTCGCTATGCCACCCAAATATGGGTGACGGGTATGCTTCCGTGGGGGCCCCGTTACCAGTATTTGGGTGATGGGGCGACGAATATGTTAACGAACAATTCGAAGGTTTAGCATCGCTAGTAGCAATTCAGGTATGACGTCTTAAATAAAATCGAAGTGGTAAAAAACCACCCAAAACCAACATTGGAGCTCTGAAGGAGTACATAAGAATAAGGCGTGCAAAACGAAGTTCCTAGCTGCATGGGTAGAGGTTAGATTAGATATAAAATAAAAATATTAAAAAATTCACATTATACCATACTTTTTATTAATTTATTTTTTGATAAAATATTATTTATATTGCAGTGTATTATAGTATTTGTTAAAATAGTCTAAACTCATTTGTGGTAATTTTGGACAATTGAGACAATAGGTTATACTTTTTTAATATTTTTTCTCACTTCCTGGCATTTGACAATTTGTCAATAGTAACATTTGAGCCCCATGAGAAACTCAACTGAATCATGCTGGGTGAAATATGTGATACATTTTTGAAAACCACAACCTGCCATTGTGCCACTCCTATTAAATATTGTCAAAGTCAACAACTTCTGCTCCCATGTGAGGTGACAGTGTGATGCCTACTAGTATATTTTTTGTGCTGCCAAAGAATGCCCATAATATTTCTGCTATCCCCCAACTCATCTTGTTTTTCATCCTACCATAGGATCTCGTCCTCCACCTCACACATTCCCAGGTGGTGTCTCAAAACCCCTGGTACCCCCAAAGCGTTATACATTTTAGCCTTTGGCTTAGAATTGGGGAACATTTTCCCTACATTGATATGGCTACCATTAAATTGGCCTGGAAGTTATACAACCTGACAGCTTTATTGACTTCTGCTTCTATAAGTGGTATTTCAACTTAAGCTTTTCCTGTGAAACTGATATTGCTAGTGTAGCAACTGTGACTGTCAGACAATTAAAAGTCCAATTTTGTAATAAGAGTGCTTTGGTTCATAATACAGACAAAATTGACCAAAAGGCCCTGGCCAATTTTCAGTGGAACCCCTTGAATTGGGGCAATACTTCTATTAATGTTTCTCAGCTAAATAGCATAAATTTAGGGAGTTGGATTGTACTGACCATGTGGCAGAATCAGGAAAGTCCATCTGAGATTCCTTCCTGTTCCATTAACAATTTAGTTAAACCACCTATGTGGGGACCACCCCCTTTTGTACCTTGGAGGGTGTCCCACCAGGTGTAAAAATTTCCTCAATGGTGATTGGTTCCAATATATTAAATCCTTGTCTAACGGACTGGTTCTATCTAATATTGACCCTTCATTGGCTATTTCATTGAAGCAAAGTGAGCTTCAAGAGCTCCAATAGGTCAAAACCCTTTATTTTCTAATTCAGATACTCATAGCTTATACTGAATTTCTTGGTCATCTTACTTCAAACCTCAGATCATTTATACATTAAGCAGCAACATAGTAATAGGATTCTTTTTCAAGCCATCAAACTCATCAACAAAATTACTAAAAAAGCAGCTTATTTTCCTAATTTTAGAGGTTCTTAGTTTATTATAAGTGGTGTCTGAAATTCCCCTATTTATTAAACAGCAGTAAGATTTTAACTACTCATACTTCTTTTAAAATTGTCAAATCCTGTGAAAATAGCTCCAGTGGGCCTTAGTCAATGCCAGGATTTCAACAAGCGATGCTCACTACAGGGGGCCCTGTACACCACCAAATAAACTAAAAAATGGAGATTGGTGGGGAAAATCTACCTCATGACATAGAATCTACTCCAACCAATATAGACTCTTCTATGGCTGTCTCAATATGGAAACCTGCTTCTGCAGAGTTGCTAGCACAAAATGCTTCTTCTTCCCATAAAGATAGTCAGAGGATAATGGCCGTGATGGGGCAGTGCTCCCCTTCATCTTCAGCCTAATAAAACCTCTTGGTGAAAGCAGTCATCCCTTTTCTTTCCCATCTTTTCTCCAGAGCGGCCTTCCCAATTGGTTCCCTCATAAAATCCTTCCAATACGCTACCTCTATATCCTTCGCCTGCTCCTCTGGCTATATTTAGTCCAAAACTGGTAGCTTGAGGGCAGCTCAAGCCCCCTACATCAAAGGCTAAATGTAGCGCTACAAAACCTACAGCATCTCC